GAAGCACTCATGTGTGCACGCCGTGACACACGTTGTTATCGACTTAGCAACTACTCGGAAACATTTTGCCATTGGAAAGTAGGTAATTCCGGAGGCATTGTTGAAGGAGGAGAATTGCTCCAAATCTTATGCTTACACTGCGTATGCGGTGCTTGTTGGCAGGTCATATCAGGGCCGTACGGTCACCTGGTATTTCAAGCTCATCAATCACATGGAAGTGAGGCGTAAATATCATGTTGAAACGCAGGATTGACATGCATCTACGACCTTTAAATAACGGCAGATCCATGGGTACTGAAGTGGTAACTGATTACCGAAGTGGCCCACAGGTGTGGAGACGAACGAACACTCACTAATGTCGTGTCACCGCCACACTAGGAACCCTCCTCGTTGGAACAATGGCTACAGATCCACTGATGGTCTTACCTACCCAGCGAACTTGACCTTAGTATACAATGCGCCGACTACATCAGCAGTACGTAGCTACACTATTCACATGAGTGTACGGCCAACTGAAACAACACAGCACAAGAACCTTGTAGCCGTAAAGGCTTTAAAATTTCTATTTGCCAACAAGTCTTAGCTTTACCTCCTTCATACGAAGTACTGTATTGTTTCTGATTACCTCACACTGCCTTAACAATCACATGCATTTCCTAAACGAAACCGCACACGTATCGATTCTCCAGATTGCTCGCAGTGGCACGATTACACTATGCATATCGTTTCACGTGTGGCCAGATAGGCATGCGAGCAAGGAAGGCAACCGCCGTACAGTCCAACAGCCTGCAAGCGTTGCAGCCTCAAGGAAAACAACCAATCCGCTTCTTATTACCACTCACTTAGATGTCATCTCGCTCGCGTGGTAGTGAAACCTTCTTACGCCAGATTGGCAGTATGACATATCACGTATTATATCTCCGATTGGCTGATCACCCTCGACACCATAGAAGTGTGCTGGTACACCGATGGCGATCAACAGATAGGCGACCGACCAACCGAACCAATTGTACAGCGAACCCGCAAGCCTACTACCAGCCTGCAGGTAGTTTTAAACAAGACAATCGTTCCAAAATGTGCTCTTGTTTAAAACTACCAGCACATTCTGTGCCGCACCAATGCACGCCTGAAGGAAAGCCGAGGCGTTCTCTCTGAAGTCAGACCGTCCAATCGACATGACCGAAAGCGTCCATACGACTGCACGCGCGCACAGCGTCACACTTGTTAGTCTTCCCTTTGGTGTGGCCGCAGACTCGACCGCAAAGTGCATCGCGTGATACGCAGCGGACCAATGTGGTCCAGAGCACACGAGAAGTTTACTCGCCTACGAGTGCGGACGAACGGGTAAACTACCAACTGAAGCGATCGATAGTACTGGTTCACCAGCGGTTTCGTTGTCGTGCTATCGTTCAACAGGCTGGCGATGGGTACCATGGTCTCGTACTGAGCCATTGTGGCAGCTCGTATTACGCAGCGCATGAGCTGTGGCGGAATTAGCAACGCGCGCATGCGCAGTTGGTCTATGTCGAACGCCATAGGATAGACGGCGCGCACTCAGCCTAGGCAAGAAAGGGCACGCGCTAGGCTGATTTATCAATGCCTGCTCTGCGGTTGGCTAATCCACCGGTACAGAATTCCAGGGTCCCTTGGAGGAAAATGATTTTTAAGGGGGCCACAGGGAGCCATGTTGTGAAAGGTGGGTTGCCATAACACAAGGAACAAATTTCATCTAATTTTTTCTATTTCCGCGCGCTACTCCCTAGTCGCTACCGGTCTCGGAAATGGATTTCACGCGTGCAAGTTTCTGTTTACGAAAGAGTGGATCCAGACCGAGCAAACGTCTCGTTGCGGAGCTGCAATTTACCACAAATAGCCATAGACATGTATCGGAGCAGCACGTTTTCTCTGCTTCTGTGGTACCAGCTTGTACCTGTAGAAGCTCACAAAGTCTTGGTTTCCGCCTCGCTATATAACAAAACGTACCTTTAACTGAGAATGACTGTGTTCGTAGTGTGGTTTACCGTTTCTGTGCTATCCTGTGTTCGCACTCAAGGCATAAACATAGGACGCAGTTCGATTCTAACCCTACACTCGTAGGACGGGGCATGGAACCCGATAAGTATATGTTGCGACTGACATGAAGTTAGACTTTCGAGTACCTACCGTGCGTTTGAATTGCCAATCGCAATCTCTATTTGGACCTCGGTTTACTTTGAAACAGACTAAAGTCACTGGGACAGTATCCGTGGTTTCGGGGCTTTACTCTTTCCCGACATTAAACCTCATTGCAGTGTTAGAAGCGATAAGCACTGAAACCCCTCTACTTGCGACGGCCGCCATTGCCACTACACTGTCTGTCTCTACAGGCAAAAGTTGTCACAACGTATCGCGAGTTATACCTAAAAACAGAATCCAATCCATGCGCACCCCATTTTGTCCGTGAAGATGGTCGGTTGACGTCACTTGTACGGACGTCTGAATCGCGATGTGCGTGTGCTGTATTCTCGGTGTTGAGATGTAACTGGCACTAACGACAGCACCCATGGACGATAATATTATGGAATTGAGACCCAAAGCTACGGTGTCAGTCTGACAGGCGCCTTACAAACTCCGCATTGATCACTACAAAGCTGGCCCATCAAATGTGGATAAACTCCGGTCTTTGGCCAATACTCGCTGAATTACTCAACAGCATTTCAACTGCAGTGACGCGGCACGACCTTGTTTGGCATCAAGCATAGTGGCAATTGACTAACTCCACTAGCTTCTGTTAATGGCTTCCCATGAAAACTGACTATCGGTGGAGTAGGACTTTGCATTGGGGGTATTTTGCTTTCGGAAATCTCCGCGTACATCGAAATTGATGGTCCCCATGAGAATATGCGCCGTCCTCAGGTTGTTCCTCAGGTCAATATCCGTTAGCATTGAATCCATATGGACCGTGTAATCGATTTCAAAGGCGTTAAGGGAGACCGTTCATAGAAACCTATCAAGCCTAGTTCCGTTCCAGTAGCCTTAGCGTAAACTAGGACCAAACCAGCTCGAGGATCACTGGCCAGCAGTCAGCTAATGGCAGCGCCATTTGTGTTGGAGTCAGCCAGTGACTACACTTTGGGCTTGGAGCCAGCCAACAAGAGCGTTTTCTCTCATCTGGTTTTCCTAATAGCACGTAATCTTCCTTGTCTTGAACTATATACTTAGGCTCCATTCCACTGTTAGAACACTGAATTTTGCGGACCTCAATTGAAAGTTTCGGCGAGGCCTTTGTCATCAGATTTGGGAAGTGGCCAGTCCTTGATTAAAGTAGTTATTTCGCTTAATCATGCGTCAGCAGGAACACAACACAAGGAAAACTGTAGGACAACATGAGTTCAGAGAGGTTTAGAAACAATCGGTTGGTATAGTAGTTTGGTAACGTTTCGCCCTTGACATCTTCTTAGGGAAGAAAAATTGAATATAGTAACCGACAGCAAGGCAAGCGCTACATATAGTTAATATACCGATGTACACTTATATTCCCAAACCCTTGTGAAGGTCTTTACTTATAATTGGCTGGTGAGGGTAACAATCGATCACATTTCTAACTACTAGAAGTTAGGAGCTGCGTCCAGCAAAGTACAAGCAGGAATTGGATTATTCTAAATGGCGTCTCGAAAGCGACCATCGGAAGTGGGCATTTATAAGCTGGGAAACAAGGCAAGGTATAAGATTGACGACATTTCTATCAAACGCAATCGTCTACCATTGTTGACTTGTTGCTGAATACCTATGAAGTCAAGTAAATGGATAGGGACGGTGTTTGGTTGGAACTACTAGATCGTCCAAAACCAAGGCGACCTCTGCGAATAAGTGTAAGTGGCCTCCGTTTGCTGTCCTCTCTGTTATAGAAAAAATGCACGATACAATTGGTGGCAACTGAGCATTGACTATGTTTGCATTGTGACAGCGAGTTCAAGCTTAGCTGAGAGTTGCTTTGAGGCAAAACCCGACTATTTTTGTCTCAGTAATTCCATCCAAAGTGAAATTTGCATTGGGGTTTGCACCACACGGCACGTTTCGTCATTGTTTGGACTTTACCTGGAGATGACTGGAACTGGCCACTGAATTCAAGCAAGGACAGTTGTCGTTTAATGCTTTGATTACTAATCCACTGAACTGCGACGAAAGACGCTCGTACAGAGGTTAAGATTTGAATACCAATTTTAAGATCGACGCCCACGTTTCAACTGACACACGCGGTCTAGATTTGGGTTAATATTTGTTCTGAACACAGGAAGCGCGTAGGCAGTGGAGAATGTTTTGGTGCTGGTAGCTACCGATACTGCGTGGTTTGCAAGGCTAACGTTGTTCTATTATATCGCACGGTTGGCTCGCGGTGCAGTGAGAGCAGTTTTATTCCAGTTTCTAGAATAACCTATCTTATCGTCACTAACGGAGTGTAACAGCTGAGTGATTGTTCTGATAAGACCCACAAATGTTTGCAGTATGATAAGTCAACTAAAAACCGCAACCGCCGTTTTAGGGATTTCGATTAGGAAGCACAACCAGTTCCGTACCGTGTGACGAATCGGCCAGAACACAGTGACTGGGGCAGAGACCGCCAGTCACCTCTGTTGAAAACCACACTTTGACGAACCTAAAGTTCTCGTCTTTTAAGTCCGTGGTTTCCATGGTAACAGCATAATATTTCTAAGAAAGTAGTAAGAAGCAAACGTACTTTCTAATCAATTTTGTCCTCATTCCGTCTTATGCGGAAGTTGTGTGCTTACATACAGGTGAACACAATGACAGAATGGCAGAGCGGGACCACACTGTCTGTTTTTGCAAATGCGATTGATTTTTACACACTGCTTTTGACTGTCACTGACGATCAATAAACGGGTTTTCCGCCTATACTCCACTCAAAGGTGAGCTCACCCTATGGACGGAGAGCGTGAGGTGTGTTGCAAACTACATATGTTTGCGACGTTGTTGGCTAGGCACACAAGAGAGGAATAACTATGACGCAGGAAGAGTCCGGTAATGTGAGGAACTACCTGGCTCGATTACGAGACCCAGAGACGCACCGATTCCATTCAGTGACCGCGCGCGAGTTCCTCGAATGCTGGAGACACTTCGATCGGGACGGAAACGGTTATTTGGAAGGGGAAGAACTGGACGGCTTTCTAAAAGAATTTGTCTCCAGCGTTATTCACGGTGAAATAGGGGATGAAGTTGTGTCAGAAACTGCTTTGAAACAGGTCAGGTCAGAATTCATGGACGCGTATGATGAAAATCAAGACGGAAGGATTGATATCACTGAAATGGCCCAAGTTTTACCAACAGAGGAAAGTTTTTTGGCCATCTTTCAACATGAAGCCCCTATTTCGTCCAGTGTGGAATTCATGCGAGTTTGGAAACAGTTTGATGCCGACCGCAGTGGATACATAGACAAAAACGAACTGAGAGACTTTTTGCGACATTTGATCTCTCGGTCCAATGTGAATGTTACTGAGGAGAAACTGGACGAATATGCATCCACATTACTGAGTCTGTTCGGCCGTAATGCCGACGGGAAGTTACAGTTGAGCGAGATGGCACGATTGTTGCCCGTGAAAGAAAATCATTTGATCAAACCGTTGTTTAAAAATACTAGAGGAATTAACACACGCACCATTGAGAAAATTTTTAAAAAATACGACACAGACGGAAACGGTGAATTGGAAGATGATGAATTGCTCGGATTCCTGAAGGATTTAATTGAAGCCGGTGGAGGTGATTTCACAGAAGAACAAATGTATACCATGAGGGATTCCATTCTACAGCAGTGGGATTCGAACCACGATGGGAAAATTGGCCGCGAAGAATTGACCGATCTTATACTACATACAGTGCGCATTGTACAGGAGGTGGAAGTGTCAAAACGTTCCATGGAATAGCAACTAAGCAAATCTGTGTGTTTTCAGCATAATGTCCCATAATCTCCTTGGTGGGTTCGAATTTGTATTACATTGATGTAATGTACTTGTCAAAAAAGTGGATACCCAAGCAAAGAGCGAGATTGTACCAAATTGTTGCATTAAATTCACTTGGTGGTAGGAGAGTACGTGGTGCTTGCGATCAGTAAACAGATGTAACCATATCGTGTGTGGTACTCCAAACTAGGCACTTAAATGCAAACCACAGAATTTCGCCAGAGGTTGATTGTCTATTAACAGTCTCGATTTTTCGAAGTTGTGTTCTCACTGCTGTATTTTGTACTTTAGCGAGCCTGTCAAAAGCAGCTGCATTCATGAGTAATTAGTTGCGCAATCTTACAACGGACCCTTCTAAAGCAGTCGGGTATCGAAGTCACTTTGCATTTCAAAGTGAACCAGCCGTATACGAAAGTGAGCTGTCTTGGGTCAGATTTCTTATGCAACAGCTTTTAGTGTCTATGTAAAGGGAATATAAACCACTAGATTCCTGTAAGATGGAGTTCGTCAAGAATTTGCTTGTACCGACTGGGTCCGAGAGACATAAAGTAACACATCTACTTCAGGTTAATAGCTAGGTCGAACGTAAGCTAGCTGCAGGTCGACAGTGATATGCGCCTAGGCACATGGCACAATCGCTGAGAGCCGTTCAAATGACCACGCGCAATTAAGTATCAGACAGGTGGATTTAATTTGTAACACTTTGAGCATCCTCCTCCTTTGTACTAATTCGCAGTCAGGACCGTTTAAATGTCACAATTGACAGCCTAATTTGCGGATGTCGTCACTCGGTGGCTGGGTTACACTATCTCCTGCACGACAATAAGCGGCAAGACAGCGGATTACGAGCGGCATTATAGCACATTTAATGACGTTTTCATGTCGGCCGTTACCTTTGTAGTAGTCACGGTCTCTTAAGAGTGGGAACTCCGACTTTGACTTCAGAGAGAACATACGAACTGTGCATTGCCGACTATTAACGGAAGAGATAAGGCCGTCGTACAATGTTCTTTTGGGTGTGTGAGAGTAGTCTGACTAAGTCTAATCATATGGTTTGCCACGTATGGTGTGATATTACGGCAACACCATACAAGAAAGGAAAAGAAGACGACCCCTTATGGTGGTAGCATGATGTTTAGCTAATCCTATGTAGAAAATTGTCAGGAATCTACGCAACATACACCGAAACATATATAGCGAGGAGAAAATAAACCTGGCAAACTATTTGGGATCACTGATTTTGCGGTTCCGCTGACTAAAATGGATATGACTTATCTATCATACTAGAGGCGATACCTGCCACCGGCATTTGTCGCATAACCGAACTGATGTCGGAAGCATTTTGTTCACAATGAATCAAATGGATCGCTGCATCGGCTGCTGTGATGACACCGATGAGGTGTGGCGTTAGACAAGGGACAGAAGTGTGTAGCTCGAGTTGTAGCTAGACATCCAGCCATCGTGCCGTAAGTATGTCTGTGGACCACAAGAGAGTTCGACCTGTGACCAAGCATCTCCCACCAGTATCCAAATGTATTGTTTGATAGCGATTTCATTCCCTTATATATATATATATATATATATATATATATATATATATATATATATTTGGCAACCTTCTGTAAGTCAAGGAAAGTACCTGGTCAGGAATTTATCTGCTCAAGCGCAATCATTTTGGGTGATTCGCTAATACATCCTTCTTCTAACTGACAAGTTCTTTGAGATTTAGGTGCATATGCCAAACTTGAGACCGACGGCGGCCGGAGTACTTAGGTTAGATGTTCGATGTGGGATCAGCTCTCATTGCAACTGAGCAGTTAGGTACCTTAGATAAAAGAACGACGGTAGCAATTTCGTCACAAATTTGTAAATAATACTAGCCCCAATGTCTAAATGACGAAACTGGACAATGGTATATTACGGGCAAAAAAGCGGATACTTAGATAGTCCCGTAGGTTGGCCAACATAAGAATCACAATATGGTAAATAGAGAATAGTGATAAAATATTTTTGATGGACTCACCACAGTTAACACAGAGGCATGCAGAAAGGGCCAACATCAGTCGTGTTGGTTAATTCAGGTTGGGCAACTTTCATCGCATTATATCGTCTGCGGAGACCCACAGGTTATATCTCAATGTAGTGGGTTAGAGCAACGTCAAGGCGCCTTTTACACACAGGTAACGTGGGAGCGGAAACCACATAATTTGGGAGGGCGTGCCATGGCTGTCACACACGAAAAGAGTAAAAGTTCCATCGACATTCTGGCTGACTGTGTTGCATGGACAACTTGAACTGGTGACCTCTCAAATACTTCTTGTGGTTCAGTTGTAGTAGGTAGAGGCAGATGTGGTTGGGGATCCTTCGAATCTGGTAGGCTAAAATAAGGTCACCAAGTAGGCTCCAGTACCGGCCGCTGTATAATTTTCAGGTCATCGATTTAAGTTGATAAGGAAGGTGAAAATGATTTGACCTACTTCGTGGCTCGTCGCTGTTGAGTCTTGAACGCTGCGAGGTCTGGTTTGTGCCAGGGCAGGTTTGCGGATTCCACTTGAGGCAGCACGTAGGTGTTAAGCCACTGAGAAAATAAAGAGGGATCAAACCGTTCGAACGCCCTCCGCAGCATGCCAACATGTTAGTTGCCAGTCTTTGACACTTTATCAGATTATTCTGAGCAGCCTACAATAGCCTAGATTTTTACCGAAAGGTCGCGCTGCTGGGTGACTCCTTGCAGGACATGGTCCCCAAGGTTGGATGCGAAGTTAGACTGGTGGCGTATGTGAACAGGTTTACGCTTCCCCGAATTGAACTGGAGCTGATGGTGGTGTGACCATACTTTATCCAGGTCTCGCTAAAGTGCATCGTAATCTCATGGGTCGGTGATTGTCCGGCGCATCTTAACAATATCAGTGAACAGCAAGAAATTTGAGGCGATCAAGCGCGTAAGCTTGGTGACCTTATGGCTGGAAATGGCTGCAATTTGCCTACTTGGTGGCCCAAACGCCATGCGAATTCTTTCTTGCATTCACCGTTTTAGCGGATGTACTTGAAGTGTGGTGAGGCAGTTAAAGAAACTGTAGTGTGCACGTACTTGTTTCGTGTAGAGCGAAGATGAGATTACTCGTTTCTCAAAGGACTTCGAAGCATCTATTATGTGTTCGGATTACGCTATGCAGCCTCGACTGTGACCACAATTTAATTCAAACTGAATCTCAAGCACTCCGATCACTGGGCTAGTGGCATCCGCAGTGGAGAGTTTCGTTGCTGCTGTCTCACATCACTGCGCCGTACTATGAGTTCCGTGTTTTTGTGGACTCTTCGAGCAGTGGCAACGTGCGATAGCTGCTGCTATGGATAACACTTGGTAAAGCCCAGTCGTCTAGTCATCATAGAACAGGTCGTTACTCCCTATGTTCCGAACTCCACATCCGACTCTGATTATTTCTGCTTGCTGAGCCCAAAGAATTGTGTAAATACTCGGGAAGTGTGGTGTTGAGAACACGGTTACTACCAGGCATACATAAAAACCACGTCAGAAAACACCCTGTGGTTGAGAGTCAGTGTCCCTGAAAACAAGAGCCATTGCTGATAGCATGGAACATATGTTTGCCTGATGGCTTTTATTGAATTTTTATAAAATGTGCGTTTTATTCACATAACTTGTCTTACATGATCGGTAGTCAAGCAAAGGAGGTCAAATAATCAGAGCAAGCCGTAAAGTGTTGTCCACACAATCGATAGCGTTAGCTCTCACGTGACTCCAGCCAAAAGTCTTTTCGTCCGTATAATGCTGTACAAGTCAGAGGATGTCCCGGAGTGTCACAACTGCCTAGCTAGGAGCAATTTGTTACTTTAGACTAATAAGTGAGAGAATTCCTGCATCAATTGCAAGCTTGTGAGCAAAGTATGATGAAACACGAACAGAGCCATTTATGGCTAGATTGCATTTCAGATCAAGTCAAATGAAGTATGATCTTACCGTATTTTTCGAACTATAAGGCGCACCGGATTATAAGACGCAGTATCAGTGAACGGATCTGATTTCATATTTAAGGCGCACCGGATTATAAGGCTGAGAGGAACCTCGTCCAAGTTTGTGATGTGGTCAGGCTGGATCTCATTTCTGGTTATCTTGTTCTTGCAGTAAGTGCGGAAGAGGGCCAACTTTTCTTTGGCAGTTGCCGCGAGGTGGTAGTTCTTGTGCGGATGAAGAGATGACGCATTTCCAGAAAGCGGAAGCACAAAGGAGGACCTTGAGAGGCGTTCATCTTCATAGCAGTTGCCATCGCTATTGCCTTGGATCGAATAGAGACTAGAGATTCTTCTATTTGCTGTTCTATGTTCACCAATCCACTGCTCAATTTTCTCAGCGAACTGTGGCCATCTTGCTTTGTTCCCTCGGAAACTCTTCTTTGTCTTCTTTACTTAGGGCAGATCATCTTCTTGCTTCTTCCACTTCTGTACCATTGATTCACTAATATTGAATTGTTTCGTAACTGCTCGCTTCTCATGTTGCACAGCGTGGACTTGAGTTTGAAAACCGCTACATAAGCATGTCTCTTAGCAGGTGTCACTTTGGGGTTCTTAAGTACCGGTATGTTGAAGTTCAGTGCCTATCAGGAAAGGTGGTAGGGGTTAGGGAACAATTTTCGCCTTGATCCCCAGCATGCGACTGTCGCTGAAAAAGGTTCTCGTGCTTGATCTCATATGTTGACCAGATTGTATCTCATCACGCAATGTTACTCACTCCGTAGGACACGCAAGACGACGTATGTTCCAGTTGTCTATCCGAAAACTTCAGTTTGGACGATGATGTGAGTGAAGCTCACACGGACGTTGACGACTGTCTAAATGACCGCACATCGTTCGAACACTGATGTGAGCGCAGATCGTGTGTTCAAACACCCACTTGCAACCAGCCGAATACAGCTGCGTGTTTTGGACGGCGTTTGCAAGGTACGTTG